AGCTTTTTGTGTCTCACATGGATCTCCCTCTCCTCTTTCTCTCTCTCTCTCTCTCTCNNNNTCTCTCTCTCTCTCTCTCCTCCACCCCCCCTTCTTCCCCTACTACTTCCCTTTTCTCTCCTTTTTTTCTGATAATCCTGCACAGTACATGCCTTTTCACTTGCTACACTCAGTCCTCTCTTCTGACTTTTTCTCTCTCTGCAAAGCACTATCAAGCACCGCCGCCGTCTAGTCCTAGCATCTTTCTCTCCCCCCTTCCATTCTCTCCCTTTCCTCTTACTCTTATTTCATCTTATTTGTCGTTTCTTCTCGATCTCCCCATCTTTCTTCCTTCATCTTGATCTTCTCTCTCTCTCTCTCTTTTGTTCTTTCTCCCCCAACACTTTTCTTGTTCTTATTTGTCCTCCCTCCCCTTGTTCTTTAATTGTTTTTCTCCTCAATCCTGTCCTTTAACCACATGCTTCTCTGAGTTTGTATTTATGGAACTTTTTTTCGGTGAGGCCTGAGCACCTGGCCTGTGAGCTGCCACCCTCCGGGGCGACTTCTGTGTGCTGAGCACCTGATACCTATTTTTTGATCTCTTAAGGTTCGAGTGCCCATATCGTGTAGTGCTGAATACCTTTTTCTGGCCTTCATTCCTTTTGTTACTAAGCACTTAGCATGTGGGATGCCTGAGATTTACTTGTTTGAAGAACTCGTGTACACCATATATATTACTACCATATTGCGAACAGTTTAAAAAAAAAAAAAAAAAAAACTCTGAAGGTGGCCTTTCACTGCATTTGAAAAATTCAAATATTATTTCTTAAGAATGCTTTTTTTGGACAATAGCCTGTACATCTATTTTTAGTGGTTCCTATGTCCAAATTTATCTATACTTGTACTCTAAAACAATCAAGAAGACTTCCAAATCAAGCGAGAAAATAATTCTAAGGGTAATCCACATGGGAATAGAACTTTTATTTCCTAGAGACACTAACATTAGACTCATTGCAACCAGGAAATATTTGCAGCTTAGAAATCCTAACTCACTTATGCAGCAAAATTGGTCACTAATTTTTCAGCAGGGTTTCAGCCATAATTTGAACCTTAGAGCGTCCCTGAAATTCCCATGAAATATGGGTTGTAGATCTTGAAGAGATCTTCAATCTAAGCTTTGGATCACCTCTAATGGACATCTAGGTAAAAAGTTATGCCTCTGGGGAGTGGTCGAGTGTTGACATCAGTTGACCATGGTGTATACAAAATTTCTGCCCAATTATAGTATCTAGTCTTAATCAAATTTGCTGCCAAATAAATTTTTTTTTTTGATAATTGTAACTTTGTATTGATGACAGAGATAGATACAAAATGGTAAAAGTAAATCTAGGAGTACCTTAAGTACATAGATCTCCTGGTAAAAAGAATAGGTCATCCGACCCTATAAAAAATAGGTTTATAAAATAATCCCCTTACACCGTATTCCGGAAATGTAAAAAGAAAGTAGAGAGAAAAATGGGGTTATAAAATTATCCCTTAACACAGTATTCAGGAAATGTACAGAGAAAGTAGAGAGAGTAGATCACAAAAAACCCCAAACCAAGAAGGATGTTCGTGCTCTGTGGCCGACCCAAACCCAACTGTGGTATGGCCTATTGATCAATGTGGGCCTTGGCTCCGCCCTTGGCCAGCAAGTCCGTGAACCCGTTCGACGTCCGCGAGATATGCGTCCATAAGACGGGCGTATCCATGTAAAGATGCTGACTCTCATCATAAATAAACTCAAGATACCAGGGGGGTAGCAATCCTAGAAGCCCAAGAAATAATGTTTCTAGTGTCACCCTCCATTAATAGTAACTGTCCCCAAGATCGGTCAACGTTTTGTATGCCTCTGAGGACAGCCATAGGTTGAGCGTACTGTGAATCTTGGATGCCGAGATATTCGGAGAAAGTAAATAGTACATTCTGATGGTGATCTCTGAAGACCCCTCCCGCACTTGCATGTCTTGGGTTTCCCGAAGAGAAGCCATCAAAATTCAGTTTGGTTGCTTCTTGGGGGGAGGTTCCCAGGCCCTTATAACTTTATTTTTCTTTGGTTTGTGGAGGAGAATTTGCTCCCACTGCAGTATGAATGAGTCAGTTGGGATACCAAAGAACAAATGATGGTTTGATGCCCAGAAGGTTACTAAGGATGTATCCTTGTGGAATAGGGAAGGGGCTAGACAGGACTGTCCCTGAAATATTATGGCATATCTTTCTTTCCAGATGGTCCAAATTGTTGCTGCCACAGTGGCTTTCCATAGGGTTCTACCCGCCTCTAGCCAGTGCGAGGCCAAGTTCAAAGGAAGAAGGTCTTTAACTGTTGGAGGTATTATCCAAAGGACCCCAATGGGCCACGTTACAATGTACAAAAAGGTCGTTGCTGGATTCCTCTTGACTCAAGCACATGATGCACCTATTGGGAATTGGGATTCCTTTCTTTTGTAGGTGATCCACTGTAAGAGCCTTGTTGGAACCTTGAATCCAGTTGGAGGTTTGTACCTTTGAGGGTGCAATTGATTGCCAAACCTGTGATAGAATCGAGATTGGCTTCAGGGGGAAAGTAGGAGTTGGATAAGCTTTTTATAGAAAGAAGCCACAATAAACTCCCCTGAAGGTGCAAGGGACCATACCAATTTATCTCTATCAAAGGTATTGTGTAGCAGTGAGGAGAGAGAGAGGAATTGATTAAATTCGCCCTCAGAAAGATTCCTTCTGAAAGATGGCTGCCATCGTCTTCTGCCTTCCTCCATTCTGAACTCGTCCTCTACGGTAGCCTCTCTATTAATGGAGATGGAGAACAGAGAGGGACATCAGTCCCTCAAAGGGGCATGACCTATCCATAGGTCAGTCCAGAATCGAACTCTACTGCCTTCTCTTAGGAAGAATCTGATAATCTTCCTGAAAAGTTCAAGGGTGGCAGTAAAGGACCTCCATGCACCTGAAGCATTAGACCAGGGCTTTGTTTCTGAGATCCAGGTATGGTCTGGAATATTATACTTATTCCGCAACAACTAGGCCCAAAGTGTGTCTGGTTGGGTGGCCAAGCGCCACCACCATTTCCCTAAGAGGGCAAGATTTTGTTTTCTTAAGTTTCTAATCCCCAGTCTGCTTTGGTGTTTAGGTAGGCGTACCTTCTCCCCAGAAATGAGATGGAACTTAGTTTTTTCAGCCTGCCCTGACCAGAGAAAGTTCCTTATGAGCTGGTCAAGGCGGTATACCACAGAGGCCGGTATTTGAAAAAGAGACATCATGTACGCTGGTGCATTGGCCAGAGTAGCTTTGATAAGGGTGGTTCTTCCTGCTTGTGATAGGTATCTCCCTTTCCATCCTGCCAACCTTCTATCGACCTTATCTATCACATGGGACCAATGTCTCTTTTTTGGTTTTCCGAGACCTAGTGGAAGACTTAGGTAGGACGTAGGGAGGTCGTCCACTTTACATTCCCAATCAGGAATGAGCTCCCTAGTTTGGCTTATGGTGATAGCGATGCCCATCATTTTCGATTTCTCCATATTAACCTTGAAACCCGTGGCCAATTGGAAGCATTTGAGGTAAATTCTGTGGTTTTCCACTTCGGGAGAGGAGGCGTTTAGAAAGACCAGTGTGTCATCTGCGTACTGCAGATGTGACACAATAGGCCCTCGACGTGAGGACTTAAAGCTTGAAAGAAGGCCAGCTTGGTAAAGGCGACCCAGTGAGCGGCTGAAAACCTTAGCCGAGATAACAAAGAGGAAAGGGGATAGAGGTTTCCCTTGGCGAAGGCCTCTCGATGAGGGAAAGTAACCTTTGGGAGTTCCATTTATGAGGATCGAAGAATTGGTGTGGGAATAGCCCCCTCTTATCCATTGCTGCCACCTGTCTCAAAAACCCATTCAAGCCATTGTTTCGTCTAGTATCGACCAGTTAACATGGTCGTAAGCTTTTTCCCAGTCTTTTTTAAAAATAAGACCAGGTTTTTTTTGGCACGGTGCCTGGAATGGATGCATTCGTTGGCAATCAAAGCTCCATGAAGGATTTGTCTATATTTGATAAAGGTCGATTGTGAGGGAGAGATGACCGACAGGAGGACCTCTTGAAGTCTAGAGGCCAGGACCTTAGATAAAATTTTATAGGAGGAGTTGAGCAAACTTATGGGATTAAAATCCTTAAGTTCCTCTGCCCCTGCCACCTTAGGAATCAGAGTGATGAATGTGGCATCGATGGAGTTGTTGAGAATACCCCGTTGGAAAAACTCTACAAAGAAATTTAAGAAATCCAAGCGAAAGGTATCCCAAAAAATCTTGAAAGGGGCCACGGGGAATCCATCAGGCCTAGGAGCTTTGTCTTTGGCTAGGTCGTCCAAGGCCTTAAGGATTTCGTCTTCAAGGAATGGACGGTCTAACCATGTTGCCTCTTCTTCCGAGAGGGTCAGAAAATCTAAGTCAGCCATAGCTGGTCTAGGACTAGAACAAGGTGAGTATAGGTTCTTGAAAAAATTTAAGATTGCTGATTCAATCTCTTCTGGCTGGTCCAAATAATGGTTGTTAACCTTGATGATCAAGATTGAATTGTCCCTTCAAATTTGCTGCCAAATAATTTACAAATAAATTTCTTATATTCGTGTCGATGATCATGAATCAATGCATTTTCTGATGCAAACTACTGCCTAAAGACTTTAATGCTAACTGCCCTTGTTTTTCTCCCTTGATCCTTCAAACATTACATTAGTGTTTCCTCTATTATAAAAAAACATTAATGCTAATTTTGAAATAGTCCCATATCCAGTAGTAACTTGGTGAAAATTCTATGGAGCTACCGAGACTGAATTATGACCATTAGTTTTCTAACATGCTTATTGTCCTCATGGATCTGTTCTTAGAATATTGGGTTCCTGGTGTCATCCTTGCAACCCTTGCTTTTCTATCTTCAGTTTGTGTAGTCATAATTTCCTAGCTCATTATACCTTATTCTGGTTTCTAAGTTGGTTTATTGATCTTCAGGCATACTGCTCTGTGCGAAAACAGTGCATGCAAAAGTTCATCTAGCTGCTTGTTTTGCTGATGCCACTTCACTTGCTACAAAAAATAGGTTGATACACATCCTTTTCCATTTTGTTCCATTCCAGAATTCGTAAACATTTCTATGTTATTTTAATGATTTTGCATTATGGAAAAATATCTAGATATTAGTTTTATTTAGTTTGCTTGACTGAAAATTCGTCTTCTCTTTGATTGACGATATTGTACCATTTTAAGCATTATTTCAGCTTTGTACACAATTGATTGTGTTTGCTTGTTTACAAAGATGGAAGGCGCTCTTACCACCTCCAACTTTGCTAGTTGCAGCTTATGTCATATCACCAGCTGCGATTGGGTTTGTTGTTCAAATAATTTGAGCTCAAGTGATGTGACGTATAAGGTGCGACCAGAAAAATAGGCAGCGTTGATGGGACTCCCAAGTAGAACATCTGAAGGCTCAAACTACTAACTACTCTCTAATGTCAATCAAACAATTGAATCCTTTCATTTGCTTGGTTTTCTTCTTTGGGCTAATTTCATTTTTACCTTTCTAGGGAACTTAATTCAAATAAGGCCTTGGATACTACTTTTTCTCCTGCAATGGCTCCTTATTACTCAATATATTAAAGAAATGAGATAGAGAATGATGTACTTCTGTAAGTTTATTCAAATTCCATGCTTGAAGTACATTCACAATGGAACAGATAAGGATTTCGAAAATTCGTCATTCATTCATTAAATGGTCATTGTTCTATCTATAATTATAAAGGAACAACCATTTCATTTCTTATAATTAATGTAAAAGGGAATCACATACAAAATAGGTGAGAAAGGAATTAGAGAAAACGACCTTCTGACATTAGCCTTAAAGCCCTAGGAAATGTTTCTAGATAAGATTAACAAAGATATCTTTTTTGAAAATCTCTTACTTTAAAGACTTGGTTGCTATGATCGGAAGTCGTTTTTGTCAATATCGTCAGAACTTCCTTCTTAGTTTCCAGTTTTTAGTCAGTAGGCCAACCATTAATATATCTAAGGGCTGTAAGCTGGTTGTGGTCCCCCTTGCACAGGGCCGGGAGGGGTAGACTGGATACAGGCCTAACAAAGTGGCTGCTCTCAGCCCCTAATATCAATACCTATTTAATTATGCAACTTATTTTAATTGCAGAATTATGTATATTATGAAAATGGGATATGTCATACCATGGTTGTTGGGAATGGGATTGGGAACTGCAGTTGAGATCCCTTTGTTTGGGATCGATGTCCGTACAATCGCAAACGTAGGGAACAGTCCATGTGTGTTGGGGATCGAGTTCCTCTATTAGATGGGATCGATTACAATAATATTGGGGAGCGGAATCCTCTGATTTGGAAAGTTCCCAAGTGCAAGTTTTTGGGTTTCTTGACTTGAATAGGAAAAATGACCCAACATAGTATGGAGCGAGCGATATATTTTATAGGAGCGAGTTCCATTTACTTGAAAAATGAGATCCTTGTCCAAGTTTAAATAGGGCTCCCTGGCTTTACAGGGTAGTTCTCAGTGTTGACAATTAATAATATGTAATCTTAAAACATCTATTAAATAAATCATAAACTTCTCTACCATCCTCTAAAGCAAGGATTATGCCTCTTTCCTCTCCTCCTCCTTCCTCTCACCCTAAGGAACCTAGAGTTCACTCTCCCCCCCCCTTTACCGACATTACCGACAATTCATCTACCCCCAAGCTCAACTTTCTCCATCTCTCTCTCCCACACTCAGGTCCCCCCCTCTGACCACATATAACTCTCTACCCTCCCTTACTTCGAAAACCTTTGCACAACCTCCCCCTCAGTTGAACTAATCCGCTCAGCCTTCAACCTCTACTCAGCCTCCCCCTCAGCTGAACCAATCCGCCGTCCTGCTTAGCTCCAACCCAAGCACTCATGTAACCTTTGTAAACTCTACTACTCATGTCGGGCTCTTCAACACTTTAGAGATTACAGACTGCCTCTCATCCATGACAAACTCTTTTATTTGTTCTTTCTCCCCCACGTAATGACATTAAGGGAATCACCAAGTGGCTCCAACACATTTTTGAAACTTCACAGATAACTTGTGGACTTTTGTTTGACTCTCTTAGCCCTCTGTCGCACCCTGCTTCACCTCCTCCTCGTCTATTCCTTCCCTCCCTCTTACCTTCTTCTCTGCCTCCCTCTTTCACTATGGACAGACCCTTTCCTTTTGTGTTACCTGCCTCTGCTAACCAGACCCATTCTGAACCTTTTGTACATCCTACTTCGGCCCCGGCCCCTTATCTCATCGAAGTAAGCATGGTCTTCTCTTCTCATCACCTTGTCCCACCACTATGTCTCCTCTACTCAGTTTTACACCTTCTTGGTGCCCCCTCCCCATCCATCTTACCTCCTTCCTTCCTCCACCCCTCTCCCTTATCCCTGCCCCCTCTTTGCCCCACCTGTTTCCCTTTCTCACTCTGGGCAACAGGCACCTATTCAGCCTGAGGTCACCCCGTCCCCTTATCCTGTCCCCCCTCCTCCTATGCCCTCTTCGTTTTCTGGCCATACTGATCCTTCCCCCCACCCTTCCGCCCTACCTCCCCTTCCCCATGACCTTTACCCCCAGCTTCTGGACACTTTCGTGGACCAAGGCTCGTCCTTCTCTCCCCCCTCACCTGACGCTGAAGATGAGGGGGTCGACGGGGATGGGCTCGACTGTGACATGAAAGAGCCGGCTTTGCGTCCCTCTTCATCTTCCTCGATGGCCAACAATGATGATGAAGATGGGAAGGAACTCAACCGCGACCTTGACAAAATGAAGGAGATTTTTTGTATCATGGGTTCAACTACGATGGGCCTGAAGGACCAGCTCATCGCTTTATGTTCGCAGATGCCCATAGTCGACAGAAGGTGGGGTTCAAAGGCCAAAGGAGCTTCTCAATCTTTTCTCGTCATCTCTTTCGAGGGTCCCTCCACCTCTGGGGGTCCCCCCACCCTATCCTCCACTCTTTCATTGAGGCGATCAACTCGATTAGCCTCACTCTCTTCTCCTTCCCCCAAACCATGAAGATTATCACTTGGAACATTAGAGGTCTAGGCCATCCTTCCAAAAGGAAGGCTGTAAAGGACCTGTCCTCGAAATACTGCCCAACCATTCTTGCTTCACTGAAACCAAATCACAGGAGCCTCTGATCAGGGGGCATTTAGGTGATCTGGGATCCCTCTGATCAGCTCTTACTCTCCTCTCATATCAGGGAATTTTCTGCATCCATTTTGCTATCTCGTGTTTCTGATGGTTGAAATTGGAAATTCTCGGTCATTTACGACCCTTGTTCCTCCTCCGTCCAACCACGTTTTTAGTCTGAATTGGACTTGGTGGCCTCCCTCCCTCACTTTGTTTGGTGTTTGGGGGGAGACTTTAATATAACATGGTGGTCTCATGAGCGACTTTTCAGACTTCCAATATTTCTAAAGGCATGACAGACTTTTCAGACTTCATTTTTAGGAATGATCTCTTAGATGTTCCTCAGCAGAGTAACCGCTACACCTGGTCCAGCCATTCGGCTCAAACCTCTCTTTCTAAACTAGACAAGTTTCTTTTAGCCATTGACTGGGAGGAAACTTTCTCGGGCTCACACGCCCTCACCCTACCAAAACTTGTCTCGAACCACTGTCCCATCCTCTTTTCCACCGTACCCTTGAATAAAGGACCCAAACCCTTCAGGTTTGAATTGGCTTGGCTTGTAGAAAAGTCTCTTTCTTCCTTGATCCCAAATTGGTGGAACTCCTTTGATGGCCCAGGTGACCGGAAGAGCTGGTTATAGACTGCTATCTAAAATCCAATTGCTTAAGGCCTCCCTCAAATCTTGGAGTCGTTCTATTCTTGGCAACTACTCCTTGACTAAGTCCAACCTCCTTAAGACCCTACAATACCTTGACAGCCTAGAAGAATCCCGCCCTTTGACTACCAGTGAAGCTGAACTCAGAACCCAATCTAAATTAAAATATCTCTCCACCCTAAAAAAGGAAGAGCTTTACTGATTCCAAAGATCAAGAGTTAACTGGCTGAAAGTAAGGGACCACAACACCCGTTTCTTTCACAGAATAGCTAACTGTCGAAGGAGGTACAACTCAATCTCCTGCATTAAAGTAAATAACCAGTACCTGGATCAGCCTAAAGAGATTGAGTCAGCCATCCTAGCTTTTTTCTAGAACCTTTGCTCTACCCCAAATGTATCGAGTTCTTCACCCTTACGGAAGATCAGGGTATTTGGCTGGAACGTCCTTTCCAAGAAGATGAAATCCTTAAAGCTCTCGATAATCTAGCGAAAGACAAAGCTCCAGGTCCGGATGGGTTTCCCGTAGCCCCCTTTAAAATCTTTTGGGACACCTTTCGCCAGGATTTCTTAGACTTCTTCTCAGAATTCTTCCTCCGGGGTACACTCAATAAATCCATTAATGCCACCTTCATTGCTCTTGTACCCAAAGTTGAAAGGGCCGAGGAACTTAAGGACTTCTGTCCCATCAGTTTGCTCAACTCCACTTGGCCTTTGGACTGCAGTAGGTCCTCCGTACTGTCATCTCTTCCTCACAGTCAGCTTTTATATAAAATCGTCAACTCCTTGATGGGGCTCTGGTTGCCCATGAATGTATCCATTCAAGGCACTTGTCTAAAATGGCTGTTCTAATCTTCAAGATTGACTGGGAGAAAGCCTACAACCATGTTAATTGGTCAGTTTTGGACGATGTTACGAATGGGCTTTGGAGATAGGTGGAGAATGTGGATGAGAGGCTGCTACTCCCATCCTTTCTTTTCAATCCTCATCAACGGAACCCCCAAGGGTTTCTTCCCTTCTTCGAGGGGCTTTCGCTAAGGGGATCCTCTTTCCCCATTCCTCTTTGCTATTTCGGTGGAGGTCTTTAGCCTGTCTCTCGCCCGCCTTTACCAAGCTGGGACTGGTTTTCGAACTTCACGTCGGGGCCGAATAGTGTCGTATCTGCAATATGCTGATGATACACTAGTCTTCCTTGATGCCTCCCCGATTGACGTGGAAAACCTGAGACTCTTTCTCAAGT